GAAATAAATCATTGTTATGATGAGCACATCAAAGACTACTAAGGTATTGGGTTCGAGTGGTGCCGACTTGTGCGGGCACCGGGCTAAGCGCTCGGCTAAGGCTCGACTATGGCTCAACGCACGATCTCGAAATATCGGCACGACCGAATGATATAACTAGATCATACTAACATATATGAGCACATAATTCAATATAAATACAAATATAACCACATAATTCATGCAATAATTCACTTAGAACTACTGAATCGAACAACTTTAGTGTTCACTTTAAAGTCGAGCAAGTGAATTGGTTTTATTTATTAACTGTTCAGGGCGTTACACCAGTCGCACGCCAGTCGTGCCAGCCGTGCCAGTGGCATGCCAGCGCACGCTAGCACGCACGCCCGTGCCCAGGGCTGCACCGCAAGCCCTACAGCAACCATGCCATGCCCAGCCGCCAGTGCTCGCGGCCAGTCCAGGCAGCGCCCACGCTCGCGGCCTTGGCAAGCCCGTTGGTCGAGCCAGCGGCGACCTCGGCCACAGCAGGCCAGCGGTCAAGCCAGACCAGTTCAGACCGGTTCACTTTATATTTTAATGTTTTAAGTCCCGGTTCATGTTCAGGTCCCATTTTCAGTTAAAATTCCAGGTCCGGTCCAGTACAGTAAATTCATATCAGTTCAGTTCCATATTTAACCGGTTCCAGTTATATCGGTTAAAGTCCAAATATCATGTCAAGTTCAGTAGGGCATCTTAACATATTTAGCAGCTATTTTTATCAGTCTGAGCATAGTACTTAGTAATTGTTTATATTATATTTCAGTTTGATCAAGCTTCAAATATCAGCACTGCCTTTTCATTTCAAAGGATCAGGTGGAGAGTCAGACTGGGTATTACATTAATTATAATTACTCGACCATGTTTGAGGTATGTATTATCATGTCATGTATCTGCTTGGAATGGTTGCCGGTCCATTCTGAGTTCTAGTGGCCTAGTCTGCCCACTAGAGTGTGCACATGGTGTCCGGCATTTTTATGCTGGCATATGAGGTAACAATCATGTGATGATTATCATGTTATGATTATTTCAGTACCGGTTTCATATTCAGGTTATGTATATACCAGGATCATGATATTGCAATTATTTTCACTGTTTACTTCAGTATGAGTTTCTGCGGAGCACAGTGGATTTAGCGCTCACGCCCCACATTATTCATGTTTTTTTTTTTCAGGTCACAGGGTCAGAGCCGAGGAGTGAGCTGGCAGTTGGTTCAGGACTTTGGTCATGTGGTTAAAAATGTTTTGGCGACGCTACGTTTTTCCGCTGATTACGACTATTTACCGAATTTAGCTTTTGTTTCGATTTTCAATCGGTTAATATGTTATGTTAAACCATTTTGTTTTTCTTTAAAACTAAAATAACAGTTTTTCAGATAAAGTCATGTTTTATGGTAGCACTCCGAATTAGTATATCGCAAATTAAATGTTTTTATTTTGAAAAACTTTGTGAAAAACGCAGTCTGATTTTCATGAAATAGCGGGGTATTACACAATCTAGAGGTTCATACCTCAGTCAAGAAGTTTATGTGTCTCACCACTTCTCATACTCCGACCAAGTTTGAAGAAAGCTTGAAAGAAACTGAAGCATCTGAGGATGAATCAGATCAAATTGTGTGTGTAGATCCAGTTCACTTTCTTGCTATGGAAAAGTGCGCTCAAGCATCTGAGGCTCTTTTTAAAGCTTTAAAATGAAGTGTTTAGACTTTCGAGAGCAAACAAGGTGTTGAACGAACAAGCATTCGCCTCCACTGCTACTAAAGAGTATGAACTGGATACTGCTAAGGCACGAACTTGCATCCTAGAGTGTAGTGTCAAACTTTCTAAACAAGACGGACTGGAGAAGGCTCAGACCATTGAATGCTTTAGGAATGAACTATTCTCTACTCAGAAACTTCTTGCCGAGCGGAACCAGGAAATTGTTCTACTGAAAAATGAAGCTGAGCGGATGATGAAAGAACATGATAGCATGGAAAGCAAACTGAAGTCAAACTCTGCTGAGTTGAACCGAACTACAGAAGTTATTCGAAAACTGAACAAGGAAAAAGCAGACCTAAATGAACTTCTTTCTTTGGGAAGACAACATGGAGATCTCACTGGAATAGGGTACACTGGTAGGGAAGACTTTCCTGTGTCCTCGACTGGAGCTTCAAATTCAAAACATACTCATCTTGGATTTGGTGACAAACCTGGAGTTGGAGGCTTGAACCTCCACGGGAGACCTTCCAGAAACGTGTTTGACAGGTTTGTAAAAAGCACTGTAAGTAAACCTCCATCTCCACAATCTCCCTTGAAAGTACGTACTCCCAAGCAGAAATTTGTTATGAATACTCACCATAACTTTGTTCCTATCTGTCATTACTGTGGTGTAACTGTCACATAAGACCTAAATGCTATAAAATGCAGCATGACCTTTGTACAGGAAAAGTTAGGAGTTGGAATCAGTCTGGCATTCCAGTGAAGGTCCATTCCAAGAATCTCCCAAATAACCGTACCAAAACGCATCAAGTATGGGTTGCTAAGAAATTCTTCAACTGTTTTGCATCTGTTCTATCCCTCAGGACTTCTCTGGAAGGTAAATGGTATCTGGACAGCGGCTGCTCTAGACACATGACTGGTGAACCTTAATACTTGATGAACATTCAACCTAGTTCAAATGGGGAAGTCACATTTGGTGATGGAGTGAGCAATAAGGTTATTGGAACTGGTTGTTTAAATTTGGGAGGAATACCTAAACTAACTGATGTGTTACTTGTTGATAAGCTAAAGGCAAATCTTTTGAGTGTGAGTCAACTCTGTGATCAATGCCTCAATGTCAGTTACTCATGTGGTAAATGTTATGTGAAAGACAATGAAGGCTCTTGTGTTCTTACAGGTTCTCGTTCAACGGATAACTGTTATCTTGTTGATGTTAATGAAAAATTGTCTTTTGTCAAATGTGAGTGAACCTGAAATATGGCATCAACGCTTAGGGCACATTGGATACTCTCATCTTGTCAAATTGACTAATGCAGGTGCAGTCAGGGGTGTTCCAAAGATTGCTGTGAAGGACTAGCCAATTTGTGAACCTTGTCAGCTAGGTAAGCAAACGAGGACATCCCACAAGCTACTGAACTATATTGCTTCTAAACAGATCCTAGAACTTCTTCACATGGATCTCATGGGGCCTATACAGGTAGAAAGTTATCAAGGTAAAAAGTACATTTTTGTGTGCGTTGATGATTTCTCTCCATATACTTGGGTTGATTTTTTACGTGAAAAATCTGATACATTTTCTGCTTTTAAGTCACTTTGTTTGAAGGTTCAGACTGAGAAAGGTTTTCCCATAATAAGTATTCGAAGCGATCATGGAAGAGAATTTGAAAATTCTGAGATTGCTGAATTTTGTGATTCTCTTGGTATTAAACACGAGTTCTCGGCTCCTAAAACTCCTCAGCAAAATGGAGTTGTTGAAAGGAAGAATCGCACTCTACAAGAGATGGCTAGAGTCATGTTGAACTCCAAAAACATTTCTTCCAGATGGTGGGCTGAGGCAATCAATACAGCATGCTATCTCGTGAATCGTGTGTAGCTTCGTCGAGGTATTGGTCTGACTTCATATGAACTCTGGAAAGGTAAAAGTCCAAATCTCAATCACTTACATATTTTTGGGTGTAAATGTTTTATCTATAATGATCGTGCCCAACTTGGGAAGTTCGATGCAAAATCGGATATTGGATTCTTTCTTGGTTACTCTAACAATAGTCGAGCGTATCGTGTTTACAACACTAGTACCTCCACTGTGATTGAGTCCATAAATGTTATTTTTGTTGAAAAAAATTCTCAAGTCAGTTCCTCTGTATCCTTTGATCAGTTAGAAAATGTTGAAGCGTTGCAGGATACTCAGGGTGTTAAGAGTTCTACAGACAAGGAGATAGCTGAACCTTCTGTCGAGAATGCTGAAGCATCAACTGACTACATTGTCCCTGCGACCCAAGAAGGTTCTGAGTTACCTAGGCGTGATCCTCCATTAAGTACAGAAAGATCATCCACCCGAGCAAGTCATTGGTGACATAAACGAGAGAGTCACTATGAACTCGAAGACGTCAGTCAAAGAACTCATGGATGTCTCTTATTATGCTTGCTACAACTCACTCCTTGAACCCAAGAATGCTAAAGAGGCCCTGAAAGATGAGTGCTGGATCTTAGCCATGCAGGAAGAACTGGAACAATTCGCTAGAAACGATGTCCGGGAGTTAGTACCTGAACCTTCCTCGGGAAATGTTATCGGAACCAAGTGGATCTTTAAAAACAAAGTTGACGAGTTTGGGAATGTGACCCGGAACAAGACGAGACTAGTTGCTCAAGGCTACACTCAGACTCAAGGAATTGATTTTAATGAAACCTTCGCCCCTGTTGCTAGACTTGAATCGGTACGCATATTTCTATCTATTGCATGTCTCATGAAGTTCATTGTCTACCAGATAGACGTGAAGTCTGCCTTCCTGAATGGGATACTACATGAAGAGGCTTACGTGAAGCAGCCGAAGGGTTCAAAGATCCCAAGAATCCGAATCATGTCTACAGGCTTAAGAAAGCATTGTACCGATTAAAGCAAGCTCCTCGTGCGTGGTATGAACGCCTTACCATGTACCTTCTGGAAAAGGGATTCAAGAGAGGAGGAGTAGACCAGACATTCTTTGCTATTCGAACGAATGAGGATCTATTGGCTGTTCAAATCTATGTCGACGACATCATCTTTGGATCAACATCCAAGAAGCTGGTCAATCACCTTGTGAAACTTATGTCGTCTGAATTCGAGATGAGTCTCGTCGGTGAACTTTCGTACTTTCTTGGACTTCAGGTAAAGCAAGGTAAAGATGGTATCTTCTTGCATCATGGTAAGTATGCAAAAAAACCTTGTTAAAAAGTTTGGCCTTGAAAATGCTAAATGTCCTCAAACTCCCATGGGCACTCATGTAAAAGTGTCCAAAGATGATGAAGGATCATCTGTTGATCAAACTCTATACAAAAGTATGATTGGTAGTCTTTTATATCTCACTGCTAGTAGACCTGACATTTGCTTTAGTGTTGGATTGTGTGTCAGGTATCAGGCTGCCCCCAAGGAATCACATATGAAAGCAGTCAAGCATATCATAAAGTACATTGGAGGTACAACCGAGTATGGTTTATTCTACTCTGCTGATACGAACTTACATCTTGCAGGTTATTGTGACGCTGAATGGGCTGGAAATCTTGATGATCGAAAAAGCACCTCTGGTGGGTGTTTTCACATAGGATCAAACTTGGTATCTTGGTTTTGCAAGAAACAAAACTGCATCTCCCTTTCTACTGCTGAAGCCGAGTACATTGCCGCTGGAAGCTGCTGCTCTCAGTTGGTATGGATGAAACAGATTCTATCTGAGTATGGTATGAACGTTCAGTCGGCTCAACTTTTCTGTGACAACACTAGTGCTATAAATATTTTGAAAAATCCTATCCAACATTCTCGTACCTAGCATATTGACATTCATTATCATTTTATTCGTAATTTGGTAGAAGATGGGATTATTGTGTTAGATCATGTTCCGACAGATGATCAACTTGCTGATACTTTCACTAAGGCTCTTAATTCAAAACGATTATTGTCCCTGAGAAAATCTTTAGGAATGTGTGCTATATGATTTGTGTGCATTGTGTCAGTTGCATTTATATATATATATATAGTGTTTATTGCATATAGGAACTTTTTTTTAGGCATCTTAGTATGTAGGTTCATCCCTGTAATTCTTCTCTGATCATTTATTGTTAAGTTTGTTGATTGGTGGTGTGTGAATTCTAACTGGTCAGTTTGTAAGAGCTCGTCATGATGACCATTTTAACATACTTGTAAGAGCTGCTCTCGTGAAAATAGGCGTCGGGTAACTATCACATGAGGTGCTTCCTTGATCACCTGTGAAACGAGTCACGTGTCTAATAATAATCGAGGTGTGATAGCTACAGGTAAACATTCTAAGAATGAACGTTCTCTGGTAAAATAAGGTTGGCCATTCTGATATCTTCTCAGCTTGTTCAAAATTAAAACTTTTTGCGGGATGATTCACACCTCAAGTAATGGGCTTGACATTGGCGTATAGTTAATGTTAGTAAGTGAATTGGTCTAGAAGTTCATAGAACGGAGTAAGTTCATCATAAGTATTGGGGCTGAATTGCGAACGAAAATTTCATTTTTTGCTAAGAGAAGGTGATGAACGAACTTATGTTAATTCTGTGTTGTATAAAAGTGGGAGCAATAAGGGGTGAGTTGTGCACGAAGAGAATTTATTTTTCTCATCATCTTGTTAGTGTCGAGCTCTTCTCAAATTGATTTGGGAGATTTGTGGGTCAATCAATTAATGGATTTTTCCAATATTCATGAAAATAAAATTTTAGGTTTTGCGTGTTAAGTATCTATTTTAGGCATGTACATCAGTTTTTCTCATGGCATATATTATTTCGATCCTGCGCCCAAGTTATTTTTTGTACATTATTTGGCCAATATTCGTGTCTGAAACTTCATACGTTATATATGGTAACCATGTTGCAACTTGGTAACAAATCTTTTTGTTTTGGAGGGAACGGTTTTCTTTGCTGGCACTTAGTGTTGGTCAAATTTGAATTTCAAATTTGTCGAGTTGAACCGTTTTTAAACCATCCTCGATAACTGAAATTGCAGTTCTCTATATCAATCATACCATCTTGGGCATCTCTCTCTCATATCTATTTCAATCTTTTATTTTAGTTATCTCTCCCATCTCTCTAACATTCCTTCTTCCGAAATTCCCTATTTTTCGACGATGCCTAAATCCAAGCAGGGCACCGTGAAGCCGAAAAAGACTGTTCCTCCGCCATCTCGGCGCTCAACTCGTCAGAGCCAAAGTTCCGATACTCCACCAGATCCAAATCCTTCCACCATGGAAATCGAGAACATTCAACCTCCCATCAAATCCACAACTAGGGTTTTTCCAAGCCCTAAAAAATCCTTAACAACTAAAGCTTCTCAACCTGAAGTCGCCGAACCCAGTGACAAAGGATGAAAAGGTTCTCCGCTATCATCAAATCTCCAAAGAAACGCAAGAAGGACGCTGAAACCGTCGCACCCAAAACCAAAAAGGCGAAGAAAGTCGATCATGTGCCTGAACCTGCTGGTGGTACTCCTTCTCACACAAAATCCGGAGGAGAGTCATCTCCGGATTCTGATGTTGATTCTATTGAACGTGAGGTTACCAACTATGTTGCTGAACCTGAGAAATCTGACAACAAACATGCTGCGGATGTTGTTATGCGATTTTTAACAACGATATAGTGGTGGGTTTAGTTTATTATTAGTGATGATTTGAACGTAAAACATGTATGAAATACTCAACAATGGCCCCAGTCCGAGGTGGACCGAGGTGAAAAGCTTCGATGAGCTGTTTCGTGTTTCATTATAAAGAAGTTCGGGTCCAGAATTGAATCCCGTCCAAGTGTTATGAACTCGCTATTTATAGCAACTTTTTGAGATATATATCGGGATTTGTGCATTGCTTTTCCTATAAAGCTACTTTTTGGTGGGTGGCAGGATCAGTGGATCCCACTTGAATGATAGCAGATCTCGTAGTTTGTGAGAGTGGCGTGTAGGTGCTTTGTCACCTGCTTAGGAGGTGACGACCTCGGTTCGGAATGACCTCGGTTGTGAGGACCACTTCGGTCTTCTATGGCTTGGTCGGTTCAGTATGCGAACTGGAGTGATGGTCGGTCGTGTTTATTGTGGGCACTAATTCACTTAATACGCGATTTAAACTAACTTTGGGTTACCGAATTGAGATGATAACAGATAGGCCCCCAACATCGGCGGGCATACGGAGTGATGGTCGTCGGTGTTGCAAAGCAGCTAGAAGTCTCAGCTCAGTAATAGGCTGGAGGTTAGAAAAACTTGTTCATAATGCTCTTATGTACGGGAGGTGACCGAAGTGAACCGTATATTCCGAAGTGAGAGCTGGTTTCCGAGGTGGGAACACTTGGGAAAAATTCGTGCCAAATTTGTGTAGTAATGAGAGACATCTGAAGAGACGTAACGGTCGGCAATTAAAGGTGCAGTGCGAAGGGTCGCGCCGCAATAGCTTTAAATGAGATAACGGTGACTTGTAATAAAATAATGGCCACTTGATTGCATCGTTTGGGGAGGAAAGATCGCGTCGATTACACGTGCCATCGATTGAGAGCTCTAACGGTCAGAAATTAGGGCTTATAAATGGGGCACCGGGATTTTTTATTTACTTTTCTTCACTTTCGCTTTAATTCTTGAATTTTTTGCACACAGTAATCTTGCTATTGAATTATCCTTGAAAACTCGAGAGTTATCCCTTGTGCGCCATTTGATTGCGGATTTCTTGGTAAGTTTCATCTTTAATTTTTATTTCTTTATTTGTTCTGTATTCTTCTTTTTGTGCGATGGCGTCGAAAGAAAAAGGGAAGGCGGTTGCTAGTTCCTCGAGTACCGAGTCGGTTCCTCTCGAGGTGTATCACGATTCGGAGTTGGTGGAGTTGGCCTTTGAATATCATCAATGGGATCCGATGTTGGTGAGGAACTTAGACATTAAACCAAACGATGAGGACGATGATCTTGTGGTGGAGCATAATGCCGCTGATGTTGAAGAACCTCATTGGAGGTGGCCAGTGAGGACGTGGCCTGACCCGAAGGTCGATTTTGAAGGTGAGCCCAGTATTCTAATGCACGCCGATGTGGTGATGCTCCAGGAGCAAATACGGGTTCCGCCCTCGGTAAAAATTTATGCACCTTATCCGGGGGAAAGGATAACAAGCCCTCCCCCGAGTTGTGTAGGCGTTTTTGCAGAGAGCCTTAGGTAGGGGTTGAGGTTTCCGCTGCCGAATTTGATTACGGAATATCTCCGAAGTTGGGGGTTACCGTTGTGCCAGATTAACCCGAATAGTTAGAAGAAAATAATCGGCCTGATGGTGTTGTTACACGAACGGGGTGAAGGGTTACCATCGGGTGACGAAATACGGAGTATATATGCCTTTAAGAAGAGTCCAAAAAGAAGAGTGGCGTAGTCTTCATGTTGCTTTTTCGCGGGGGCGAAACACCAACATGGTCTTCAAGTCAGTGAAATCATAACCGAAATTCCAGAAACACTACACGGCTTCCAGGAGGAGTGGCTTTGGGTAGGCGGGGAATGGCAGTCCGAGAGTTTCTTCCATGAACCTCGGATTGACGGGATGACAATCCCGATGAATATTCATAGTGGAGCAAGTGACTTTATTTATCCTTTGTTTCTTGCGTATTTTTCTGATGTCGGTTTTGTTCTGTGTACTAACATGTTGGAACTTTTACCCTTTGTAGAAAAAGAGACGAAGCAGAAAGAACCGAAGCTCAGTGCGGAATTCGGTGGGAAATTACTTATGCTTGCCGGCCTTGATAAGGAGCTTCGGGACTATAGAAAGCTTGTGGTAGACTCGAAACTTGAAGCTGCTGGTTTGTCTCCTGGAGTCGCCACTTCTAAATTCGATCCCGGTAAGGGAAATCGAATACTTGGCAGTTTTACCGACACTCTAATACGCGTAAAATAATCATTTGTGACCTTGTTTGTCGTATGTCTTGGTGCAGTGTACTATCCGTTACTCGGGTTTCTCGGCTACCGGACTGTTAAGGAGGCCAAAGATTTTAGGCGGCGCTATCCGAATAAGGATCTGCAATCCAAATTTGGCAAGAGCCGAGATCTACGATTGACCAACACCATGAGGAGGGATTTAGTTCGGGCTTTGGTGAAGAGGACCGCTGGCCAGAAAACCACTGGCAAGAAAGCGACCGAAGTGGGGTCAAGTGCGACGTCGGCGGCCGTTTTGGAAAGTCCGAGGTCTCCGCAAGGGGTTACGCCTACCGAGGTTTTGCCAGTCGTGAACGCTGATGCGATTAATCAAGCGGAGCCCGAGCCCGATGTGATGGGGACCGAGATGTCCGTGGTTGAGCCAACGCCCTCCGAGGTGCCGATAGAAGGGTAAGAGAAACAACCATCTCCTCCGAAGTCCGTGGAGTCCACACAACCAGAGAAAAGGAAGAAGAGGAAATTGGTGAAGATGTCTGTTGTTGGTGCTTCTTTCGAGGTGGAGAAGAGATCGAAGAGGAAGCAGGACTCCGGTCGTCGAGCTATTGAGAAGGGCAGCGATGAATCTCCCTGTTTGAGAAGTCGTTCTCAATGATTGATGAGGAGAGGCAGCTAATGTGAAAGTGCCTGAAGGAGTGGTGGAAGAATGGTTCACCACTTTTAAGTCCGTGAAGACTCCTCACATGTCTTCAAGGATTGAAATGCCGGAGAGTGCCAAGAATGCGGCCCACGTGCCGTTGATGGTGTGGGATCCCAAGTTTGAAGTGGGAGTCTCTTCTTTGTCGAGTGTGGACAAGCTGAGCTACGCTAAGGCGTGTTTGGGCCGAGCTCTGGTAAGTTTGGTGGCGGCTGAGGATGACCATAGCCGAATTGCTTCCCAGTTGGAGGGGAAGAAATAAACTGTGACTTAGCGAGATGTGATGATTGCATCTCTAAAGGAGGAGATGGCTAAGGCTGAGGCCACCTTGAAAGAGAAAATTTTAGAACGAGATGCGTATCTCGAAAAATCACAGAACGAAGTGACCATGTTGTCTGAGGAGAAGAAGTCCCTCCAAGCCGAGGTGGAGGAACTCAAAGTGCGCCTAGCTTTTACCGAACAACATTCTAAGGTGCTGGAAACCAAAGCTGAAGAGGTAGAGAAAAAGCTGTTGGAGGAGCGGGCCGAGCATGAAGCAACTCGTAAGGAGTGTGCCGAGGTCCGCGAACTGGTAGGCCGACAACGGGATGCACATCAGGCCGAGATGGCCAAACTTGAGAAAGAAAAGTCATCCTACGGCGAAAACATGTATGAAATCGGCTTTCAAGTTGGAAAGGACTCAATTCCTGAGGCGGAAGCTGCTCAGGCTGGTGAAGAGGAAGTCGCAGGCGAGGCTGGCGTCGAAGTGGGAGAAGAAGTCGGCCCAGATCTGGAACTTGAGATGAACACCTGTCTAACACTTTGGTGGGTTATCGAGCAGTACAACGCGGGTTATTACGACATTGATGAACTCCGTTTCTTCCTGTTCCACAAGCTTGAAAAATATGGCTTTGATACGGAGATAAAAGGGATGCATATAGAAGCTTATGAAGATGAACAAGAGTTCTGTGAATGGATGCTCCGTCAGGCTGAAGAAGTAGTACCTAATCCCGACTTGCCTCCGCTTACTGAAGAAAGGGCGGCTCTTCTCCGACGTTCTTACGTCAATATGATTCTTGAGGGGGAAAAGAAGAAGAAAAAGGAGCTGGCCGATGTATATCTTTCGACTCTCGCTGATGTGGAGGTTGAACAACATTTTGACGACATGACCCCTGAGCAGATTCAGAATACCGTCAAGGCTTATATTGAAGTGAAGGCCAAGTCGGTGGACAGGGAAGTTGAGATCATCAAGGTTGTCACACCGGTTGAAGGCAAGTCTGATGAAGTGCAAGATCCGCGTGATGAGCTTGTCCCTGTGTCAGATGCAGCTATTGATGCCGCGGCCAAGGCGAAGGAAGTGGCAGTCTTAGAAAGACTTCATAAACAACTTTCTTCTGAAGTAGAAGCCGGAGAAGGTGGCAGCGGTGGTCGAGGTGAAGGCGATAAGGATGATGCTGCTTAAAACTTTTGAATGTTGGCAGTTTTATATTTTTATAATATTTTGAAGTATATAATCGGGGTGTCAGCATGTTGACATCCTTAGTAGGACGTATGTAATCGTAAATTTCCCCGACTTATCATAAATTTAAAAATGTTTGTTTGATTTTCATTTTGTTTATTTTGCTGTGCAAAGTCAGCAATTTTTAGATCAAGTGTAATGAACTCGGTGCATACAAAAAACGTGCCTTCTAATTCGGTTAAAAAATGTGAATGAATCCGAGTTGTGGATAATAAATTCCGAGTTCCACATTGATGTTTTTTAATTAATTCGGCTAATAGTGTAAGTCGGTATGCAAACTTATTAATAATTTACAAAACTTAACACATTTCATGCCGTGCATAAAGTAAATAAAGTTCACCGAACTTCGTCAGAGTTCGATTAAGAAGTGGCCCCAATCGAAATGTTTATTTTGTATTCGGTGATTATCGAGACCCGTCAAATCATGTTTGCTGAAGTGACGTGGACGAGCTTCAACCCCAACCAAAGCATGCGTAGGGTTTGGATAGATTACGGGGTATCACCAAGACCGAGTGTCGCAATGTTTGCTCGGATTCCATGGGTACTGATGTGGAGTTCCGTCAGGATGAGCGAGTCGATATGCTCCATGGGGTAGGACTTCAATGATCTGGAAAGGTCCCTCCCACTTTGGTTTAAGTAGATCGGGGTCAGGTCCCATTATGCACTTGAGGACAAGTTCACCAACTCGGAATGAACGAGGCTTGAGTTTAGAATTAACATATCTTTCGCTTCTGTGCTTGTAAGCAGTATTTTTGAGTTCGGCACGAGTGCGATGTTCTTCAAGCAGGTCCAGATTAGCTTTCAGATTATCCGAGTTGGACTCTTCGGTAAAATGCTGAATTCGGTAAGTTGGTTCACCGAGTTCGACCGGGACCACAGCTTCTGAGCCGTAAGTTAATGAGAATGGAGTTTCACCAGTGAGCGTCCAGGTAGTTGTTCGATAAGCCCATAGGTCGTGTGGCAATTCTTCAGGCCAAGCTCCTTTGGCAACATCAAGTCGGACTTTGAGGCCATTTTTTATGAGTTTATTGACAGCTTCGACTTGGGCGTTGAATTGTGGATGGTAGGGCGAAGAGAGGAAGTGTTTGATGTTATATTCTTCGCAAAGAGATTCAAGCCGCTTGCCTTTGAATTGTCGACCGTTGTCGGTGATAATGGAGTTCAGTACTCCGAAGCGGCAAATGATGAACTTCCATATGAAGTCCACAACCTTTTGTTCAGTTATTGTGGCCAATGGTTCAGCTTCAGCCCATTTAGTGATGTAATCAACCGCGTGTTGGGACATATGAGGATCTCGATATGCACAAATCACGGACAAA